ATCACTTTTTGCCCTTAGAATACTCTTTAATTTATATCTCGGGATTTTATTTATTTTAGATTAAGTATATTTCAATTTTTTTTATTTTAGTTGAAAGGTTCAATTTGTATATTCATGTATTGTTTCTCATAACTAGACTCCGAAATCATAAAAAGAACTACCTACTATTTCCTTTGCGAAAAGTTCTTCCCAAATTTCTTTTTAACCAAAAAGATATTCTCATTGCTTTGTTTAATATTTAAAATACCATGACTACCTTCACTCTCCCCATGTATTACATACACCACATCCACAATTAACATAGCCCACTTATTTTATGAATTAAGTTATGTATTCCCAAAAGTTATATCCCACACAATAGTATAATACCCCGCAGGCATGCACAATTATTTTGTGTTAGTGTGATGATTTACACTGAAACAAAATGTCAGTGCAGTTTTTCAATTGAACTAACATTTTTTGTCGGTGTCTACCGTTAAAATACCGATATATCTCTTTAGGTTGCAATTTAGGGTACACTTCTTGGTGTCACCCTAGCATAGTTATATTTTTATTAAGGGTAAAACGTACGCGTATTATTACATTGTCTTCTTAACTCACCTTAAATGCATGAAAAGTCAATACCCCGACAAAGTACATTGGAAAACAACCTCAAATTTAGATCAATTAACTTATATAGAAGTGACTTGTATAGGATGGGCATATAACACATGTTTCAATTTTCACATCTTAATTGATACATACCCAAAAATGTCACATATTTTTTACACGCTCACCAAATAAAATCTAAAGTACATGATTTAATACGAATTAATAATAAAAGTGTTGTGAATATAGATTAAGGAGCCTCATGTTGTGTTGTCATGTTCGTCATGGCTTCTTTGCTACGTACTAGATCCTTCTACTCGTGTCTCTTCTTCGTTGTTGGGCTCTGCTGATTGTATGGGCCTAGATATTCGAGAATCCATAACACATAAGTAATAAAAATGTAACTCAAAGTGGAATAGATGGACTATAACCTTTTTTTGCAATAATTTTTTACTCGTGTCTTTTTAAAGTAACTTTCATATGGGGCCATAATTGAACTTGAGATTTTAATTTATACACTTCTAAACTAGGTTTATAATTTAAGTTTGCAAAAATTAAAACATTGTCTAAAAATAAAGTGTTTAGTGAAAAGTAAAATATACGGAGTATGTGACATTTGTGGGTATGTATCAATTAGGATGTGAAAAGTGAAAGATTTGTGATATATATTCGATCTTATATAAGACACATGATCTAAAATTGAGGTTTTTTTTATCTAATGAACTTCCTTCATGTGAAGAAGATTTCTCCAAATTTTCTTTTCATGCATGCATTTTAAGGAAAATCGAGAAAACAATCTAAATTTAAATATCCATTTTACTCTTTAAGAGAGTAAGGTATGTTAATCGAGATGGATGAGGTGTTATATATGAAGAAAGTGAAAGTATTTATGGTACTTTAAATTTAAATAGTGATCAAAGTTATGTGATATATTTTCTTGTTGATCAAAGTCATGTGATATATTTTCTGGTTAAAAAAACATGGGAAAAACTTTTCATAGGAGAATTAGTATTCCCTGCATTCCAGAATATTTGCTCAATTTTGATTTTTTTAGTCAACTAAATAGACATTCAATCTATAATTAAATAAAAATTACAAGACATATTAATTACATAAAAACATTTTTGAATATATTTAACAATATGCCTAATAAATTTATTCTTGAATCATTATCTAATATAAATTTTATTTAATTAATGATCAAAATCTATCAACTTTGACCACAAACAGTCAAAACCGTACATACTCCATGATGGAATTACAATAGTTTATTTTTGTGATTTTAGGAGTAGTGATAAGAAACAATACAACTCACTACAAATTATAGCTTTCAACGCCAAGAAACAAAATTGAAATACATTTAATCTCACATAAATAAAATATGAATAAGATTTATATATTCTAAGGGCAGAAGGTGATTGCGTAATTGGCCTGACCAGTTTTGCAAGTGAAAGTGCTTGTCTTGTCATCATAAGCATAACTATATGCATTCGGACACAACCCCTTGAAAAATAAGGAATATTGTGTCGGCGGGCATGTTGCTGGCGACCCATACTGCCCAGTGCAACAGTACTGCGGCTGCCCCATTGCCAAACACGCGCTCTTGCATCCCACCACCGCCCCGTTCCCGTCTTTCAATGCCAGCTCAGCCGGGCACTTCGCGTTCACGTCCACCGGGCAGTCTGTTCGGCGACAGTTTGGGTTGTCTGGAACGACGGACACTGGGAGGTTGAATCCGTCTACCAGGCTGACGTCGTAAAAATCTTGATCTTGGAATCCCCCCAACGTGAATTCTACTAGCGTTGCCGGAGGGATTGCTCCGGCTCCGTTGCACGCCACTTGCCCAGAGCCACAGTCGGCGGTCATGCATGAGAACTTGCCGTTTTGGATAGTGCATTGGGTCCTCGCCCAAAAACGGCCAGTCCATTGAGCGGGGATGTCGAATGATGTAGACGCACCTTGTGCAAGTTCGAAGCCAGTCGGGGCTTGTGAACTGCCGCCTCCTCCGATGAGAGTTGCCGGCCAGATTGTGTACGGACAGTTGTTAACGACGGTGAACTTCGTGGATTTCACTCCTAAAAAACAAATATCACAAATAACTTTATATAAAAAAAATTTATAAAAAATAGGAATAAAATGAAATTCCAACATACCAAAGAGGAAGGTGCAGGAGATGATGGCAAGAAGTAGTAGGGAAGGAGACAAAGAATCCATTTGGTCGTCTTTTATAACGAAATTGAATTGAATTTTACTGTATAAGTAAACTTTAAAGAATGAATATATGTGTATGAACAAATTAGTTTGAATGCCTTGGAGGATTATAATTAAGCTTTAAATAGAGAAAACCCCAATTGAGAATTGGCAATTAATTAGGTACACCAATTTATTACCGTGTCAAAATCTTTGAATTTATTTCCTATTCAATAAACTCCATTGTGATTAAAAGGTAATCCGTATAACTGTATTTATTTATTCATTCATTTTTTGTAAATGATCCTCTTTAAATGTTTCATTATAAGTTTGAATAAAAATACTGGTGTTAAAAAAAAGTTGAAAATAAAAAAAAAACCAATTTTAAAAAGTTAATGTATAGGAAAATGAAAATTATTGGAATTAATATAGAGAAGTTTGTCGAATATTGCACTGTAGTTTCGAATTAAAAAGAGGCACTCTATACAATTGGACAGTTTGTGTAATCATAGAAATGACATAACAAACACACACTATTTCATTGTTTTTACCTTTGTTTATATTAAAGCCGCACCCATTTTAAAAAATGGTACTATTCGGTTCTAAAAAATGTAACAGTTCACTATTTCAAAATTATGAGAATTTTTATTTATTTGTATCTTTTCATTAATTATTTGACAAAATAAAATATTTTTATCACATTTTATAATGTAAAATTTTTGACATAGTTTTTAAATATGCAGCTATTATTTTTTATTTTAATATTAATTTTTAAATTAATAAGGAATTTAAAAACTTAAAATTTCACTTCGTTTTGTGTAATGTGACATTCTTTTTTTAAGTGTTAGAATTTAGAATGGTCTAATGATAAAACACTACAAGCCTCCGAAAATATCTTTCAAACATTGATTTGTATCTAGGCTAACATTAGTCTTTAAATTGTGTAAGATTTTATTAGGCATAGAACTAAGAAGATACCACACCAAAGAAACGAACAATATTCTCGATCAAGAATAATAAGACCATGTGTTCTGGCTTAATTGGCAGAGACTTGACAGAGTCTAAAGAAATATAATGTAGAGTAATAAAAATATGTATCTTATAAGACTTAAAAGAAGGGAAGTGTGATCAAAAAGTGTTGGGGACTGGGGTACGGTGAAGATGTAGATTACTCCTTTCGTCCTAAAATTAATTTCCTAGTTTGACTTTTGTAGTCAAACTTTGACCGTATATTACGAAAAAAATACATTGAATTTTCATAAACATTTATTAGCAATAGATTCATTTCGTAACATAGTTTTGAAATATATAATTTTTATAAAATATATTTATATAAAAAAAATGAGATATTAATGGTTAAAGTATCGCATTGGACACCGTAAAAAGTCAAATGAAAAGTTAATTTTAGAACGGATGGAGTATTTTTATTGGTTGAAATTTGGATTAAAAAAAAAAAGAGAGAGTGGAAGCCACCGTGGCATGACCCTCACGCAAGAAGGGTCATGCCCCTACAATGAAGTACCCAAAAAGTAGTGACGCCCTCCTCACGTCATCATAACACATAGGGAGATAGCCTAACTCTCTCCTAGGGAGTATTTTTCACAACCGCATGAGTACTCCTATTTGTTTCAATTTAATCTCTTAAAAACAATTTTTGAAAAACTTCAAAATTACATTTTCCTTATTTTTGTCCAAAGTCAAAATGGGAAGGGTTTAAAGGAACGGAGGGAGTACGGAATAGCTAAATATTATACGGAGTACTTTTATCATTATCATCTTTTTTTAAGGAAAAAAATGGAAATATATTTACAAGAAAAAGTGGGCGTATAATTAACGAAAAAATAAAAATATATTTCTCCATTTTAGTGCGGGTCGATATTATATTCAAGGATGGTCACATTGTCACCATACTCTATCTCATAGTTATCAAACTCTTATATCTAAAAAATAAAAATACTACTCCGTACATACGTTGTACGGAGTACTTAATTTTATTTGAATTAGATCAAAATTAAACAACAACTAACACATTTACAATAGAAATATTACACAACAAAAATTTAAATCAAAACCAAAGCAAGAAAAAAGAAAAACTAAATTGCTTGGGCTGCACGCCGTCTTCTTTAATTAGTTGTATTTCGAGTGAAGAGGAAATTAAAGAAACACTAACTTGGGATTTACGTTGCCTTGCCTCCTAGGATTAGGAATCCTTCCCTTTACCTAGCTTATATACATGTGTGTGTGTCTGTAAAATGTAATAAAACCCTAATTCTTCTTCCCCTTTAAATTCCACAAATACATCATTAATTAGTTATCACTCCGTACGTACTTAACAGTATAATAATGTCACTTAACAATATAATGGCGGCTGCTCCAAGAAGTGGCGGGTACTTGGATGGGTGGGTCTACGGAGATCCCCGCCATGGTCAACTCTCCGTTCGACTCATTACTAAAGCTCTGGCTGTCCCCCAAGGATTTTCCCAGACACTCGGCGACCGGACTTTCACTCTACCCTTCGACCCTCTCCGCGTTCTGTCCTCGCCGGAAAGCGCCTTCGCCTATTTCTCCGCCGCGCTCGCCGGCGTCGTCGGCCGCCTAGACGCCGCGGCGTTCGCCGCCCAGATGGTCCGGTTCGCCCTCGAGAACGTCACCGTCCGAGGTTGTGTCCGGTTCGGGATATTCATGTCGGCCGTCTTGGAGACGGTCTACGTCATGGAGCCGGAGGCGGAGCCGAGGCCGCCGCTTCCCCGGGCGGCCGTGGATGCACTGGATGAGTGGCTCATGGATCACATGTTTCGGACGTTTGATGGCAGCTGGGGACCCGCCGCCGGGCCTGGGTTGTCGGAAGATGAGGTCGCCGCGCTTGAGAAACAGAGGTTCGCCGGAGAGGAGGAGGAGGCGCCGTCGTGTGCGGTGTGCCTGGAGGAGTACATGGAGGGTGACGTCATCACTCCTTTGTCGTCTTCATGTTCGCATAAGTTCCACAACGCGTGCATAGCGAAGTGGCTGAGGAGGAAGAGGACTTGTCCCGTCTGCCGTGCTCCGGTCACCGGCGGCCGTCAAAGCTGATGAATATAATTAATCAAGGGATTAGCCTTAATCTTGATTAGGGATGTTAATCCCTTTCATCTCTATTACCTTCTATAAAATTTTAATAGTGGATATTAAGTGATTAATTTTTAAATTGCTACAACTAAACCCTATTGTTAGATGATATTCTATTATTCTTTACAAAACCCTATGGTTAGCTTTTTTTTAAATTTCCACTTGTACGTAACATGTTATGGTTATTTGTTTGAGTAATTTTCTTAAATAGCACTAAAATATAATGACTTTCTCTAAATAGAATCACATGTGTTTTTCTTTCTAATGTAGCACTTTTAGTCATTATGCATTAGTTCAAGTAAATATTTGTCATCACAAGACATTATAGACATTATTAAGTACTATTTAGAGCAACTCCAAAGGAAGAAGGCAAAAGAAGAAGGTATTTTAATCTTTTACCTTCTCAAAAAGGTGATTATACCTTCTAAAAAATTATTTGATTCCAATGGATAGAAGGTATTAGAAAAGGTAAACCTACTTTTCCCAAATTAAAAGACATTTTAGGTTTAATTTCAAAATTTATTTCTTTTTAATTTCTTGTCAAATGTTCCTTTTCTACAAATTTTAGATTAATGAATCGGGAGATGAATTTAAGGCAATCATAGCAGCCGCACAAGGGGAAGAGACGAGTCCGAGCGCCATTCTGTATGGTTGCTTTTTTGTCTCCCTCATCCCCAAATACAAAATTCTATCTTTACTCCTCTTTCACTCCATTTGTTTCTTAATTTCATATCTCACAATTTCGTCTAAATTTGAAAATAGAAGATCGACGATGCACCGGAGATTACTTGGCTTTGGCATCAAATATTTTACCTTTTGTATTTGAGGAGGTAAAGATACCTCTCCAAAATAGAAGAAGGTAAATTACCTTTTGATTTACCTTCTCCATTGGAGGTTTGATTTGTGTGAAGAAAAGACAAATATGGTAATTATGGTAGCTTACCTCTTCATTTGCCCCTCCCATTGGAATTGCTCTTAAAGAATAAAACAATTTAAGTGTTATTTAAGAAAATGACTTAACTTTTAGTGTTATTTAGTGCAAATATTTATATTTGTTTTCACATATCTATGAACTAGAATTGTATGATAGAGAACGAGGTAATTTGCAGTTTTTAATAATACTCCTTATTTGTGTGTGATCATATTGGAAATAAATGGAGAGAGAATTTTCTTTGGGATGTTTGTGAATGAAACTAAAGCAACATTTACCCCCTAGAAAGTGTAAAAAATATGATTTGAGTGATAAAAATATGTTTCATGGGACTTGGAAGGGAACGTGACCAAAAAAATGATGGAATGAAGACACTGGCAGAGGCAAGGAAGCAGGGGCGGACCCACATAGGATCATATGGGGTCAAGCGACCCCACGGAAATTTTAAATTTTTTTAGTATATATATATATATATATATATATATATATATATATATATATATATATATATATATCCTACGAAACGCCACAAGTATCTACTGCCCAGCGCTGAAGGAGTGGATATCTCCGTGTTTTTCATTCCTGAGGGCGGTCTCCGCGGTCCTGTGTTCGAATCCAGCTGAAGGGTGCTTGCCATACATGTTATTTTTAAGAAGAATGACATCAAAACGGCGTCTTTTTTCTTCCGATTTTTGCTTAAAGCAGTTCGACACCTCTCTATTGTTCTGCACTTCTGCACCAAACGTCCGGACCTAATTGCAAAATCCAAATTCGAAACTTGAGACTGACCATCCGCTCGCCGACGGTAGACTCCAAACCTCCGCCGACCGCCGCTTGGAAGTTCGAACCGACGACGGCGACGAGGACCCACCAATTACTCGAACAACCAGGTTTTTTCTCTTAAATCTAATTATCTAAATTAGATATTTCTTTTTTTTTATTTGTAAATTGTGAAAATTTTAATTAATTTTTATAAATTTGTTATTTTGAATAGAAAAATAGATAATTGAATTCATTTATTTATTTTGTAAGATTTTGATTTTTGAATATGTTAATATAATTAGGTATTTAGGTTATGTACTTATGTTTTAAGTTTATAATATTTTTAATTATTTAAATTTCAATATAGGATGCAAAGGTATGTACTTATGTTTTAAGTTATAGGATGTACTTATGTTTTAAATTTCAATATAGGATCTAATTATTTAAATTTCAATTTAGGTTATGTACTTATGTTTTAAGTTTATAATATTTCTAATGAGATGATATGTGGAACAAAATCAGCAATGAAGTCAAGAAGTTTTGTAATAAAAATAATATATTTGTGCCTAACATGAATGCTCGTTATGTGAAGCAAAATAAGCGTGCACGAAATGCTCGAGTTGTTACAATTTTGCATCATTACAAGTTTGATTGCTTGTTTGAGATAATTGATAGATTTGTCGAGGAGCTTGGGAGCAGGTTTGATGTAGCAAGCACTGAATTGTTAAATTGTGTTGCACGTTATCATTTGTAAAATGTATTTCACATTTGCAATGTAGAACTACTTTGAATTAGTATTTTCAATAATATATATAAACTTTAATGTTATGTATTGTAGAATACTGTTTATATATTGTTAGAAGCGTGATTGTTGAATATAAATTTTCTAAATTACGACCCCAAGGTATAAATGTTCTGGGTCCGCTCCTGCAGGGAAGAGTTTATGGGGGGGGGGGCACAAATTTATCTAAAAAACAACAAAAAACTTTCATAATTGTAACAATCTTAATTGCGAAAGTACAACTAAACATACCTTTTATTTGCACAAAGGAGTAAGAGTTGTTTTAGGCCGTAGAAAATTCTTCTGAGATGCCAACTTTTAAAAGCGCTGCATAATACTTCCTCATCAATGCTCATAAAAATTTCTTTCTCAATGTAGCATAACATCACACAAGAGCTTATTACCGGCATTTGTTTTCCATCTCCATGTAATTTAGTTTTAATTTCATACTAATTCAAAAAAGAGTTGTAAAAACTGAAAAATTTTAAAAACAAATTGAAATGGTGTTTTAAAGAATAAAAAAATTAATAAATTGGAAATTGTTAGAAAAATATTGAGAGTAATAATTCTTTGATGAAGTATTAGCACTAAATAGCACTAAAACTTAAATCATTTGCTTAAATAGTACTTAAATTTTTTATTCCCAAAATAGCACTTCATAATGTCTAGTGATGACCAATATTTACTTGAATACTGACTAAAAGTGCTAGATTGAGAAAAAACACATGTGATACTACTTAAGAAAAGTCATTGTTTTTAGTGCTATTTACGTAAATTCCACTTCTTTAATTTCTTTATTTTTTTCAATTTTGATAGAACTTTAGTGCGGAGTATCTTAGCTAATTAAAATAGCGTGTGTGCCGTAGCAATTAGAAAATGACCTTTTAATTACAATGAAGTTTTGTAAATTAGGAAACGAATTGAATTTATGGTATGTTTAGAAATATGGATTTGGATTTCAAATCCGGATTTAGCTCAAATCCCATTTTGAGAAACTTAAAAAATTCAAATTTGGATTTAAGTCAATTCTTCTCATTCAAAACAAAGTTTAATTTGAAATCCATGCTCCTCCTCTTGTCATTTGAATTTCAAAATTTTAAATTTTGAAAATAAAATGCATGAATTGAAATGAAATGCTAGTTGCCAAACACTATCTTAAAGATTTTGAATTGGTAAATTGGTGCACTATCATTTTTCAAGTCACTCCATTTAATTCAATTCAGTTTCTTACAAAAAGACAAAGACCAAATGGATTCTTTATCTTCTTTTGATGCCCAAAGGGCGTTAAACACCGCTCCCCGGCATCAACCGACTTTTGATGCCCAAAGGGCGTTAAACACCGCTCCCATGGCAGTATTAAGGGGTCTCAGCTCCAACACGTTAAAGCTTTGACGCTGGCTCCCCACCTTCCCAGCGGCTCTTTTAGCCGTTAGCTACCCCAAAAAAAATTAAATTCAAATAACAAACCTATAAATTCAATCAAAACAAACAGATCTCTCACATATCTCCCACTATTTTCTCTCTAAAATTCTATCAAATATTATTTCAAATACTTTTCTATTTATTATAATTATTTCAAGAATATATTTAAAAAATGGGATCATCTTCATCCGTTGATGAAAAGAAAGCTCTTATTTTTTGCCGTTTCGCCACGAATTGTTATCAATGGTGGCAACAAGGCGAAAAAAAGAAGCGGAATCCTCCCGACGCCGGATCCGACGACAACGTTTAAACCGGGATCAAGCGGCTACTCACGCTTCACTTCTCAATCACTACTTCAATACTCAGTGTGTTTATACACCGGAGTATTTTAGTAATCGTTTTCGGATGAGTCGTCCACTCTTTTTATGCATACTCGCCGATATTGAACACGAGGTGCCTTGGTTCACCCAACGCTTTGATGCGAGAGGGCGACACGAGTTTAGTAGTGTCCAGAAGTGCACTGTCGCGCTTCGTCAGATGGCGTACGAGACGGTATCTGATGGTAGCTATGAATAAACAAATAGTAATCCATCCAATTATTTACGCAATCAAACTTTAACAACCTTCTCTCTATTTTTGTCTTTCTCACAATTTTACTCCCTCCGTCCACAAATAAAATTTACGTTCACTATTCACAGGGTCAAACTTTATTCACTTTGTTGGCCTATTTTCATCACCCATTTGATAAAATAATATAGTCATGTCACCTCTAAAATAATATAGTCATGTCACCTCTAATTTTGGCGTTATGGCTTCCGTCAAGCCCATGCTGATCATATTCTTTTTGTTTATCGTAGTGGTCCTGATATGCTGGTTGTTCTTGTTTACGTTGATGACATTCATGTTGCACTGCTTTCAAGAAATATTTAGATGAATGTTTTAATCTTCCTCACTCGTAACTAAAGCTCGCGCTATCTCCGGAGGATTCTCCTGCACACTCGGGGACCACACTTTCACTCTGCCCTTCGACCCTCTCCGCCTTCTGTCCTCGCCGGAAAACGCCTTCGCCTATTTCTCCGCCGCGCTCGCCGGCGTCGTCGGCCCCGCATGCGCCGCGGCGCTCGCCGCCCAAATGGTCCGGTTCGCCCTTGAGAACGTCACGGTCGGGGGCTGTGTCCGGTTCGGGATATCCCTGTCGGCGGTCTTGGAGACGGTCCACCTCCTGGAGCCGGAGGCGGGGCCGAGGCCGCCGCGTCCGCCGGCGGCTCGGGCGGCCGTGGATGCGCTGGATGAGTGGATCACGGACTACATGTTTCGGACGTTTGGCAGCAGCTGGGGGCCCGCCGTCGGGCCTGGGTTGTCGGAAGATGAGGTCGCCGCGCTTGAGAAACAGAGGTTCGCCGGAGAGGAGGAGGAGGCGCCGCCGTGCTCGGTGTGCCTGGAGGAGTACAGGGAGGGTGACGTCATCACTCCCCTGTCGTCTTCCTGTTCGCATTATTTCCACAACGCGTGCATCGCCAAGTGGTTGAGGAGGAAGAGGACTTGCCCCGTCTGCCGTGCTCCGGTCACCGGCGGCCGTCAAAGCTGAATAATTAGTCAAGGGGGCCGTTAGCTAAATAAACCCTATTGTTGTTAGATGATCGATAATCTTTACAAAGTTTCAGCTCTAAATATTTTAGAAATATTTGCACTAGCACTAAAACTAAAGTCATTTCTCTAAATAGCACTTAAATTATTTTATTCCCTTAATAGCACTTAATGATGTCCATAATGACCAGTGATATGAATATTTGTTTGAATAATGACTAATGCATAATGACTAAAAATGCTATATTGGGAAGAAAAACACATGTAGTGTTATTTAGGGAAAGTCATTATGTTTTAGTGCTATTTAAGTAAATTCCTCAATATTTTAACGTTATTAATCGTGAAACATGGTTATTAGTTTAGGTTTTTTAATTTCCACTCGTGCGTTACATGTTATGGTTAATTCTTTCACATATCTATAAATAAAAAAAAACTAGAATGATATGATACCAAGTAATTTGCAGTTTTTAATACTCTGTATGTATTTGGGTGTGATCATCATATTGGAAATAAATGGAGAGAGAATTTTCTTTTCAATGTTTGTGTAGAAAAGTAGTAATAAAAATACAACAATTTCCTAGTAATTAATTTTAATTAGTGTTTGTTTGTTTAACACTTGTCTGAAATCAAGTATAGATTTTGAATATCTCAAACTCATATCTTGGTTTGGTTTTCACTCTTCAGAAATGGCCATCATAACACATTCCTAAAATCACATCAAACCCATACCCCACAAACTTATGAGTATAATCTTTTGTGTTTCAATTTCAAACTCATATTTGAATCTAAATTAAACCATTCTGGATTGAGAGAGTTTATATACAACGCATATCAACAATTTGAGGTATGGTTCACAGGAGAGAGACTACAACACAGTAGTGTCTCAGAGTCATATTATGACACTGGAAACGGATGTCAAAGGGACCGGAGTGGATTTAACATCAAATTATCAATATTACAAAAAGACCCTCTTTTGTATGACAATGGGAAGCAATAAAATGTGCATCCATATATTTACGAATACAATTTCAAATCACATTCCTTCCACCATCACAACCACCATGTTCAAATGAACTAGAGATCATTGTAAACTGAGAGACTTATGAAATTGAATGTCTAGAGTAATAAAAATATATGTGTTATGAGGCTTGAAAGGGAACGTGACCAAAAAATAATGAAATGAAGATATAGATTATTTTGATTTGTTGAAATTGTAAAAGAGAACAAGGAAGGATCACAACAGAGTGGTCATCTTGTAAGAAGGGGCAACACCCGATCACTATGCTTGCCCCTCCTCACGCCCACCACTAGAGATGATCTTATATCTTTTTTTGTTTTACTTTTCAAATCGTTCTATATCTTTCTCTTTATTTTGTTAAATTGAAAGAGTTTATTTTTTCTTACGAGTATAAACTACGTTACTCGTACTTTTATATATTACTCATAAAATTTATTTTTTTCCCAGTAAATTCTCATACAACAGAGTCTCAAGAGTATAGTACATAAATAACAAGAGACTCAACAAATTCAGATATAATAGAGTTCGGAGAGGATGTGTGTGTGCAAATTTTCGGGCTATTCACGTAAGACCCTCGACAAATCATACAACTTCCTAGTAATTTTAATTTGGAAAGAAAATAGTTTTTTGTCATTAATAAATAAAAGTCTGAGATGAATTCATATTTCAAGTATAAAGATGACATTAGAACACACCATCCTTTAATGCTTCAACAGGGAGGAAAAAAAAGAAAAAGAAAAAAAAAACTCAATAAACCATCCCCTCCCTAAGAAGCCTAACAAAGAACATGTGCCTTCTCAATGAACCACCCCTAAAAGAGCCTCACTCAGTTCCTCAAGTGATGAAGGGAAAAGCTCAATATAGCGACTGCCGAGCATCATCCTATCCTTTGCCAACGCCGCCTTCGCGTCCTCGGGCCCACAAAATTCCACGAACCCTTCGCCTGTCGGCCTCCCTTCGGCGTTTACCCTGAAGTGGATCGACTCGTCTGACAAAACGAAATCTTCAAAGAACTTCTTGATGTCTTCTTTGATAACTGAATATGGTAGGCCCCGCATTCGCAGCACAGATGTGTTCTCAGTCGCTGCTGCATCCTGACCCTCAGATTGTTTGTTATCCAGTAATCTAGTTTTCAGAAAAACAAAAAAATGTCAACATTTTGCATTCCTGAGAAGATTTTCAATTGCAGGATATCAATCATCATGCATGAAATGTTCAACTATTTGTTGGAAAAAGGAGCAACAAAATGCACGGTCTCTTGACAATTGACATAACAAGTTTAACAACAAAAACACGAACAAACTCAACATAATTCCAAATCTATTGGAGTCTGGGAGTCAAGATGGACACAATTTTACCCCTGTTAAAACAGCAAGGTCTTTTCTGTTAGGAGGTCATTCTTTTGACACCAAGTAGGGGGGGCTAGGTGTTGGGGTGGAGGTAAAAACCACTTTGCGGTCCCTCAAATGGACCGCTGAGCAAGTAGGGGGGGGGGGCTAGAGCATTGTAATTTCTATACCCCTCAAATGGACCGCTGTCATATGGGTTAGGTGTCAAAAGAGCCCGTGTTCCATTAGACCCTTGAGACATTAATTCATTTGCTGCCCGAAACTTCATAGAAAGTCAAGGAAAAGGAAGTTTAATGTTTTATTTTTTTAACCATTTAACCCATTATTTATCCAAGGTAAAAACATTGCCAAACCCAATTTTTAAGCTCTATTAGCAATGGCGATAACAAGTGAACCTGCATCATGGTAAAAAGATGTGACTTCATTTCCATCACCTTAATACCTAGACCTCATGCCGCTAGTCACAAAATCATGGGAAAAAAGAAAGAGAAAAGGCTTTAGATAAAACTGCGACTGTAGCTTAAGGTATTGTTTGGCTTGAGGATCTTTTTTCATGTGATTGTATATGTTTTTTCATCTTCAGTATCTCATGATTATCAATCATCTAAGCATAAGAACAATTGAAGGGAAAAACACTACTAAGTACAAAACTGATCAAAATATATAAGGTAGAAAATAACATTTTTCCATGATTCAAAAAAAAGTAGAAAACTAATAAGGTAGTTTCACTCTGCTTCACGGACTACTTTCAGTTCAGAATGTCAATTGCCAAAATAGAAAATTAGACCTAGTGCTTTGGGAATATATAAAGTATGAAATACTTTTTCAAGTCTGCGTAAATGTCATAGGCTCCTAAAATGACACTCACAAATTGTTGTTTAACTCTAGAGACTAGAGTCAAGATAATTGAAGTGTGAAAGGAAGTTCTTGATTTGTGTATCACACATAAAGTAAATATCCCAAGTAAGGGTTAGGTCTGCGAACGCTCAACCTCCCTAAGTTCTTGATTTGTTTTACTGGATATGTTTGTCACTTTGTTGTACAAAGAAGTAAATATCATGTTCTGGAATGACTTGTTTTCATTAACTTCAGGTTTATACCCAAAGAAAGGAAGAAATAAAGGAATCGCGGTTTTAGGTTTTATATTTTTTGAGAAATTTCAATGAAAAAAATAGTGTACGTGATAGCCTCTCTACATCTTAGTAAGAGTAAGGTTTGCGTACACCTCCTAGGATTCTACTTTTGGTGCAATTTTACTGTGTATGTCGTTGTAAACACTGTATGTAATTAGATAAAATGTTGCTCAAATGTGGGTAAAAAAGATGTACTATTATTCAAATAGTAAGCATGCAATTCAATGAGTATTTAAAAGATTATAGGAACTTAAGCATATGAGACTAGAAAAAGAAATATTACCCGCCCCTTGAAACCGCATCCTCTAACTCCTCAAGAGAAGAAGGAAATAGCTCAATATACCGACTCCCAATTTTCATCCTATCCTTAGCCATTGCAGCTTCGGAATCATGCGCATTCAAAAACTCAACAAATGCTTCCCCGGTTGCCCTCCCTTCTGAATTGGCAGTCAAATGAATCGAGTTTTCTGATAGTGAAAAATCCTTAAAGAATTCTTTAATATCTTCCTTAGTAGCTGAGAATGGAAGACCCCTCAACCTTAACACGCCCGTATGTTCCTCTAAGTCTTTCCCCTCCTCAAAAGACTTTTCCCTCGGGGACGACTTTGCCCTCGGGCGAACTGAACCACCACCTCCTCCGCCCCCGCTGCCTCCACGGGAATCAGAAACTTCATTTGATATAGCCCTGTAATATTCCATCTTCCCACTTCTGAAAACCTCAACATATCTTTTCCCAATGTTGTGTCTGTTCCTCTGGAGAGCATAATCAACTTGGAGAGGGTATCCCAAAACGCAATAAGCTTCTCCAGTAAACTTGCCTTTCTTGTGAACAAGAAGGACGTCAACCACATCCAATCCCTGCATGAAATCTGCAATCTCAACTTCAGAGCAGTCAAATGGGAGGCCACGGAGGCGAACAACGGGGAGAGATGGAGGATGCTGGCCAACATAAGGAGAGTCATGTGGTGGGAGTGGAGGTGGATTGTACATATAACTCGATCCAGGCGGCACCGAATAATAAGAAGATCCCTGGTCCATAATCCGTTGCCTTTTGGGTCCCATTTCTCTGGGATCCCCACTATCGAAATACCTTCTGTGTCAGAGTCATAAAATCAAACACTTAGTGTGCATACAAATGTGCGGTCAACCTCAAACAACACAGGACTTGTGAATTAGTCCGATTCAAATTGACATTACAAGAAAAGGAAAAGATACTATCGGTTTCTAGTATGGAGTCCCAAGAACAGGTAAAGAAAAACAGTTCCATTAACATTCCAATAAATGTTGCATCTCGGACATAGTTGTCGGATACCCAGAAATTACTTAAAACTCTTCAAACTAGTAAAACGCAGAATCGATTAAGGAGGCATAAAGCACTGTAATTGGAACAATTCTTTTTCAAGAAAAAGAAGAAAAATCAAATCTTGAAAGAGTAATTGAGGAGGAGATAGGGTATTATGCCTTACCCTCTGTTAAACATTACCCACTTGTGAGCTTCCCGATCGATAATCGATGGATTTTTCGACTATGTTGTGTTATTGGTCTTCGCTCTTGCTTGCCCTGGATCTTCGAAACCTCGGCGGCAGGATGGCAATGGCGGCCCCTTTGTGTCCGGGTGGTCGTTAAACCAGAACCGGACCGACGGAATTGAAAAAGGACTTTGTTTCAGACCGGAGACTTGGAATCAATAAGGGTGTGTTTGGCAACCCGACATAATTTGAATGTTGTTAGGGTACGGTAAGTTAGATTTTACCATTCTTATTTTCCATAAAAGTAAATGAATAAGCGGCCAACAGTATTTCATTTCTTTTTTTAACACAAATAATTACTAGTATTCCCATTGTATTTGTTCAGTTTGACTTTTTCGAATCAAATGAGATAAACATTGAATTCCAATTACTCACAATTTATATTGCATATTAACATAATGAAATATAATTTTAAAAATTTTCAATACGATAAATCCAATAAAGTCATTTTAATGTTAAAATATATTACGATTTTTATTTAATTAAAGCTCAAAGTTTATCTAGTTTGATTCAAAAAAGTCAAACTGGACAAATACATTAGGACGGAGGGAGTAATATATTACTTCATACATTCTTCATTTATTTATATTTTCCACTTTTCAATAATTTTATCAAACTACATGAATTCGAATTATGCTTTTATTTAGAAAACAAGAAAGTATATTCTTCATATCAAAATGATTTACATTTCTATTATTATGGCCTTTCAATCATTTTTTATTTCTATATTTTCATTGATTATTTGATAAAATAAAATATTTTTCGTCACCTCTTATTTGTAAAATTTTTATTTAGTATTTTAATGTATAATTTTTATTTTTATATCAATTTATAAATAAAATTATTTTGAAAGTTACAAGATTTTACACATTCATCAAAAAAGGTACTCCCTACATTGTAAAAGGTACTCCCTACATTGTAATTCATCTAGGGAGAGAATGAGTATATGAGAAGATCTCTATTCATTCCCCCACTTTCCCCTTTTCTATCCTCTTTTTTATTCCATAACATTTTCTCCCTAAACTTCCCTCACATCACTTTAATTCTTCCTCACAATTTCCCTCCTTGTTTAAATGATGAACCCTACATGTCATAAATTTATTTTATCTACATAATTTTTATAGTAATAAAACAAGATAATTTATTTATGAAAAATTAACTAAAATTTATATTTTTAGTTTATTATAAAATGTGTTCCTTAATTTTTTTTATAATTTTTTTAATTTTTAATGAACATTTAAAATATGATTAAAAATATTTTTATGGGTACACATGTTGATGGGTATATCCCTATACCCGACCCGGACAACCGAAAGGGACAGGTCAAAATGTGACCGGTCACTTTTATCAATCACCAAATGAGGTTAACTCTTCGATTGGGACGGGTCAAAAGTTGACCGGTCACTTCCACTAAAAAAGTGACCGGTCACATTTTGGGCGATAGCCAAAATGTCGCCTAATGTTACAAAGGACAATCTAGAAGACCAGAGACGGGTTGAGCACAAAGAATGACCGGGTAACTTTTGAGAGAAGGTGACCGGTCATATCATCTCACTTGACAAACATTGGTCCAGTATCTCAGGCATGGTGAACCACGTCAGAGGTCAAGGGGACACCCCGCCGCTCATCCATCACGAGGCACACAGTGAAAGGGATGTTTGTCATTTTGCAGGGTTGATTGGATTGAGAATATCCATTTTAGTCTTTGATTGAACAGTACATGTCTTGGCCTATAGTTGCTAAATTCTATGATTGTACAGTGTTCCCATTATCTACAGTGACCTTCCCACGTGCTTCCTATTTTGTCCATGGATGAACAGGGGAAGGTCACAAATCCTCCTCTATAAATATGATGATATTGGATAGAGGAGGGGATCCAATTTTTCTCTCACTAAAGTTCACTCTTGAGATAGAGTAAGAAATATAATTCGGACTGAGGAGATTTATCCGGTCTAGGTCATACTTCGTGCTCTTGTTGTGTGTTTTATATTACGGGTCGAGTGTGTCCAGGTCAAACCCGGTTAACCCACCCCGCTATATTTACACC